TGTGATTGGAAGTAACTTATAGCCACATTGTTTGTCTTGATCACAAAATGAGAATCCACAAGTTAATGATGATATACCTATAGGCAATGCACAATGACTGTCATTTCTTTTTCCTATATCATTTGGCATCTCTTTGTGTCATTCAACTTACGACTCTCAAAGGCAATGAGATGACCTTTTTGCATGAGCACACCCCAATGGAAAATTCGATGCATCCGTTTGAACTTCAAAGCTTTTATTGAAATTCGATAATGCTAATACTGGCTCCGCTATGACCGTCACCTTTAAATCATCAAAGGCTCTTTAACATTTCATGGTCCAATCCCATCTTTGGGACTTCTTGAGAAAGTCCATCAATGGGCCACTCTAGATGAGTAGCCTTGAATGAAATGTCGGTAGTAATTCACCAATCCAAGAAAAGACCAAAACTCTGTCACCTTAGTGGGTGGCTCTCACTAGTTGACTGCTTTTACTTGGGCTCCATCATGCGCAATCGACTATGTTCGATGATATGCCCTAGGAAATTTACCTCTTCTTTGGCAAATGAACATTTCTCCTTTTTTATGAATAACTCATTTTCCCGTAATACTTGGAAGATAATTTTCAAGTGCTCAACGTGTTTGTCCAGCGTGTTGCTATATATGACAATGTAATCAATATAAACCACCGTGAACTTATCCAAGTATGGATAGAATAACTTGTTCATCAAGGTACAAAATGTAATCGGGGCATTTGTCAAATCGAATGGTATGACAAGCCATTCATAGGAACCATACCGAGTAACGCATGTAGTTTTAGGCTCGTCTCTCTTAGCAATTCGAACTTGATAATAGCCTTTTTGAAAATCTACCTTTGTGTAGAATTTAGCACTACCAAGATGATCAAATAAATCCACAATCAATGGAATAGGATACTTGCTTTTCACTGTCACCTTGTTTAGTGCCCAGTAATCAACGCACATCTATATGTCCCATCTGACTTCTTTTAAAACAACATCAGGGCGTCGTAGGTTGCTTTTGATGGTCTAATATTTTCCCTTTCAACAAGCTCCATAAGTTGTTTTTGAACTTCTTCTAACTCCAGGGGTGCCATACGATAGGGTGCCATGGCAGGGAGGTTTGGCACTGGGCACCAACTCGATGCAGCAGTCCATTTCCCTCCTAGGCGAAAGTTTCTTTGGTAACTCCGCGGGCATAACGTCCTTATTTTTCTCAAGGACTTTTGCAATAGTCGTCGGCAAGACATCATCGTTGTAAGAGGCTTTGGGCTGAATCGACAATTGAGCAATAAATGTCGGTTCACCTTTCTTCCATTCTTTCGTTAATTGCATAGCTAAAAGTTGTCCCCATGGAAATGGTAGGAATCGTGCATGACAATCTCTTCTCCAAAATGCACATTGAACCAAAGGAAGGGATGGGAATTGCATTAACCTCCCTCTAAAAATCCAAGCCAACACTAGCTTGAAATCATACATTAGTGGCACGGAAAATATCAAAGGGTCCATGCCACGAACCCAACCGCAGTTTAGCCCCTCGAACTACGCCCGCTAACCGCTTTGCGATTACATTCACCGTCTTCAACAATCCACCTCCTTGGTGAACATTCAATCCTAACCTCCGTGCTTCATCTTCCATGATGAAATTGTTTATGGCTTCTTATCAACTAATGCTCTTGTTTGCCATCCATTGATTTCGACAAGTACGAACATCAATCCTTTTTCTCCATTCGTCCCCCGGAACGGTTTTGGCATTCAAAGCATTGAAAAGTTGCAATGAACCTATGTGACTTACATCCTCCTCCTTCCCATGGAAAGTCTCCTGTTGAGTCTCCGTGATAAATGCCAAAGATCCAAGCTTAAGGCAATCCTGTATGAGATGGAAACCTTTGCAAACGAAGCAACTACGAGGAGCAAAATTACCCCTCTTCTTGTCATCATACTCCTTTCGTCAAGTAGTTTGTTTGTTGTCGTCGAATTTGTAATCAACTTTGGTATTTAGCCACCAATCCGGCTTACTCCGTTGTCTTTTTCTCGCGTCACCTCCGCCTTTGCCAAAATTCCCTTTGATTGGTTTGAAATTCCTTGCTTGAGCCTCTGTACCCATTTGGAACTTTGTCAAGGATTCGACAACCGCAATTGCCTTGTCTACATTTTTCACCTTGCGACGTTGTAATTCTTGTCATACCCATGTTGTACATCCATCCAAGAAATAGAATAGCAAGACATCATGTCGCATGCTCAGGATTTGAAGCATAAGGGTCGTGAATTTTTTGACATAGTCATAAATCATTCCCTTTTTTTTTCAATTTCTTTAGTTTCTTACGAGCCTCGTACACAAAATTTGCTGGGTAAAATTGCCTTTTTAGCTCTTTTTTGAACTCGTCCTATGTATCAATCTTGCAAGCTCTATTTTCAACATTGGCATGCGTCCGACGCCACCTAAGAGACCGGTGTCAGAAAGATATATAGTGGAAGTCCAGACTTTCATGGCTTCATCAACAAGATTTACGCTTCAAAGTAAACTTCCATTTGCCATAGGAAGTTTTTCACGTTTTTAGTATCCCGTCGCCCATCATTTTGTTAAGGCTTTGGATACCCAATCCTCGGGGCCACAATAGTTGTAGTGGCACCTCCGCTTGTGCCGGATGTATATTGCTTTTATTGCTAGAGCTCCTTGCTCATCCATTCCATCATCACAGCCAATTGGTTCATTTGCCCTTGCATGGTGGAAACGGCATCTAAGACTATGGTTTGGAGATGACCAAAATCTTCCATCTCCGCGGCTTGCCTTGATACTGTAGCTTGAATATCATCTTTCAACGGTTGGACATCATTTTCCAACGATGCTTTTGTGTCAATCACCTCTTGGACATTGATTTGGAGAGTTTCTAACTTTCCAATAGCGTGGCCTTTTAACACCTCAAAGGAGTTTTCAAGAGATTCGACTCGATTACCCATATTTGTGATGACTAGGTCAAGTTTGCCTCCATTGTAGTTGTTTCCAGCGTCTTACTTTTGCTTCATGTTTTCTTTAGTTCAACTGGGGCAACCCTTCGACCCCTCATTTCCTCAATCTCAATATAAATAGTTTGTTGAGAATCCGAAATTATAACGGCCTACAAACGAGACTCTGATACCACTTGTCACGTACCCAGTTTTTTTATACCCGAACAACTAAAACTGTGCGGCCTTAACGTTCAACAATTTATCGTCCCCCACGAGAAAACATTAAGTCAGCCTTTCCACGCTCACAAATAATTTTACCAATAAGACTAAATTATAAAAACTTTTAGTAGAGGATTTTGAAGTAAAAAATATATGGAAAATAAGTAAGGTTGGGAGAACTTTCTTTGTATATAAATGGAAGGGAAAACTTTACAATCTCTTTAAAATATAAAAGTCACTTCACTCCATGGAATTTACAAATGAGACTATATCTCTATTTATGAGCAAAATCTTGTAAGTTGCCTTGAAATTAATGACCAAGATTAATTTTAATCCAAAGGTCTTTATTGGTGGCAAGTTTCATTAGCTTCCTTTGATCAAGTTGCATGTTTTCTACACTTCCAATGCAAGTTGTATGTAACTTTCCACCTTATGTTAGTTGGCATCAAGTAGGAAATCTCTACAATTTTCCTTGCAAGTGGACTAATCATTTCTATAGTGTCAACTATAATTTTGCTTCTACCTTGACATTATCTTGCAAGTGGTACAAATGGACAAGTAACACAAGTTGGACAAATTGGCCAAGTTATCCACTTACATCCCCAAAATATCCGGATATAGCCATTGTATTTTTCCTCCCAAAATTGCTGATTTGGACTTAGAAAAATCTCATTTTCGCGCTGGAAAGCTGCTTGTGTCTACTAGCACGCGTTCTGCCAAAACAGGCTGCTTTTGTCCTTTGCTGCAAGCTCTTTCGTCCTGTTGAATTGTTTAGCCCACACTGTTTTGAGGCCACTAACGGTACGAATCGCCCTCGACCTGGGGGATGTAAGTTACTGCTACCTTTAGTAGACATGTTTCATTGATTTTTTTTCGTTTCGAGCAAAAATGGCTTGTGACACAGACTGGCCACATATTTGAGCTCGGCTATCGTCCCAAAATGGGGTTCAACTCGAGCCAAGAGCTTAGCCAACTCAAAGTTTTTCCAACGAGCCAAATTTACACGTCTAATCAAAACTCACCACAACAGAAAAATCCTCATTTTTGGGTAAAATATATTATGGAATAATGATCTTTTGGGAAATGTGGTTAAAAAGTAAGAATTTTTTTTGAAATACGTGTATGATTATTTTATGGGAGAATGTGTGGATAAAAATGGGATTTGAGGAGGGGTATTTTAAAAAATGTCTAATTTCATGGGTGTCAATTAAAAAATGTCCACTTTTAAAATTTAGTACTAAACTGTCTATTATACCCTTAATGAAAACATGAAGCAATTAATTTTTTTGCAATTTGTCGCAGATTTTGAAAAGCAGCTTCCATGAGAAACTACGTTAAAATGACATTTTCTACATTTTAAATGTTGTTCTCGATATTTTAATCCCATTTATATTTCAAAAGTACACATTTTAAATCACAACATTAAATATTTTCGACATTTTAAATGTTGTTCTCGACATATTAGATGTCTAGAATGACATTTGATTTCGAACATGACATTTGATTTCGAACATGACATTTCTCTACAGTTGAAATGTAGTTCTCGACATTTTTGTGCCAATGAGAAAAATAATATTAATTGTGATTTGACATGTGCACTTTTGAAATAAATAGAGCAGGTTATGTGTCAAAATTTTATTGGCCAATAAAATTTTTAATTGGAAAAATGTTCATTTTTATCTTTGTGTGGGATCATAAATTGTTAACCAGGATATTTTCATCTAAATTACTCTAAAATAGACATTTTTGCAAAGATTTACAATGATGAATATTTTTACAAATAAATATGTGAAATTAGACATTTCTAGCAATTTCTTCTTTGAAAAAATGGGAGCTTAAACGGGGCCTAATTTAATTTCTCTTTTACTCAACAATTAAAAAACATAGCCAAATTAATTGCTAAAAAACGCACCAGAACTGTACCTGTTAAATATATATACGCCTTGTCCATTGTGTCTTGCTCCGACGAACACCGTCGCGCCACCATCATGAAAGCAACAAATGCAACACCAAAGAGCAAAACCCATATGAAAATAAATAGGCTTTTGTGGGAGTCATTGTTGTCTTTACCTGCCAGAGCAATGGCGAGGGCTAGTAAAATCCAAGTTGTCGCGTCGTTAAATGCTGTCGCAGCGATGGCGATTTCGCTGACGAAGCTCCGACGAATGAAATTCAAATCAAGTTCAAGGCCCGCCAAGGAAAGCAAGAAGAGTAGGCTAATACTTGCATCAGATTCAAGAATTGAAGTGCCTAATTTTCCTTTTGCTAACAGTTCTATTGTATCCTACAATTTGACCCATTTCTCTTTGAGTGAGAAATAAATTCAGCTCATAAACAGATTCTTAATGTAGATTTAATTGCTGCCGAGTGCTGATGAACGTCCAGGAACTTGGGTGGACAGCAAAGTGTGCAGTCATCAACCAATTCTTCAAGATCATTTGCAATGATAACATTGAGAGGCTAGTTTTTCCAGAGTAAATAGTTTGTATAATCAAGTTTTTCAATGAGAGGTTGGCTCAAGTTTGGTAGCCGGAGTAACTTTAATTGAGGTTGAACATTATAAACATGAGGCTAAGGTTGATTTTGGATTTGAGGTTGAGGAATCGGAGTTGTAGGGTAAGGAAAAAGGAAATTTTTTTGGCGTAGTACCAGAGATGAAATGGTTGGGATTAGCAGTGGAAGGAGTACCAATACCAGAGATGAAAAATTTGTGATGTTTTTTAATTGTAGCGGTTAGTTCTGACGGTGGAGGCGGCGACGACTGTGGTAGGAGAGGTCGTGGTGGGAAGACGGTACTAATGGGATTCCTTTTATTTTTATTTCTAACTTTTTAATTATTTATTTAAGATTTGTTTGCACTTAAAAAAAATAATAATAATTTGGGAGCATTGAGAGTATATTTTTGCAATGAAAGGTGTAAATAGGGGTGAACATGTAACAAAATGAAAGGTGAGGATATTATGCACAATGAACTTTAAACTCCTAGATATAACAACGACTTTCAGTTGCTGACATGGCATTTTCCCGGAATAAAAGGGATGATTCGAAACAGAAACAGAAAAAATAGAAAGAGAGCAAGAAAATCTGCACGACGTCTGCACGTTTAAGGGGGTCAAGAGTCTGAAGATTCAACCCTTTCAATTCAACAATTCCCTCATTTAAATTCCAGAAAACTCTTGAATTTCAAGAACCAATTCTTTGTTTTTTTCTTGAAGAGGGCTTTTTCTGGGCTTATTTGTGTCTGGAGATTTTATATTTTGAGCTCAAAAGAAGACAGACACCTCCTTCTTAATTTTATCTCCTGCACAATTCTTAAATTTAAATTTTCTATATTTGCAATCAATCATTCTTGTTATAACACCAATGTGGGCAGAGGCCTCAGCCTTTTCAAACGCTTATGCATGCATGTCATAGAAATTGAGGAAAATATTTTCTTACGATTATAATTTCTGTTTGAGAAGTGATTGCAGCTGTTCAGAGATCAAAGGTCATTTGTATGAGTTCAGTGTAATAGAATCTTGGATGAATTAAGTAGATATTTTGGTGGGCTGTCATTCTTTTCTCCAAGAAGAAGGAAATTTTTGTCAGTTCTCATTTTATGGATTTTACAATGGGCTGATGAAGAAATTGAATTTTGAATTTTGGAGTTCTAGGGTGGTGTTATATGGGTCAGAATAGGATAGAAAGAGCATTGTTTTTGTGATTCTTTAAATGGGTTTTGGTTTAATTGGAGGATTTTTGCGCCAAGGTATATCACAAATTGAATGGCTGATTTGCACAGGACTAGTCTCGTGGAAAGGGACATTGATCAGGTACTTTAGACTCACTGTTTCATTGATTAGTCATTGCAATCATATGCTGCATCTGTACTTAGAAGTATTGTGTTCACACAAATTCTTTGTATTTCTCGAGGAAATGAGAAGTACTCAAATGTTGGATTAGGCATTTGGGGTGGAATTTATATGCTTACAAAATGTTTCTTTAGGCCATTACAGCTCTTAAGAAAGGATCCTACTTGCTGAAGTATGGGCGGAGAGGGAAGCCTAAGTTTTGTCCATTTCGACTTTCCAATGTAAGTTTTCGTGTGGCACATGTCATCCTTGATTCTGGTCTTCCTGAATAATATAAATTGTCTTGTGGTACATATTTTTGTTGCTGCAAGTGATATTATTTGATGATCTGATTAGTGACAATGTATTTCATTTTTGAATGATTTGGGACACATATTATAAATACATTATCGAATGAATTGGGACACATATTATAATACTTTATCATGTTGTCCTATTACATTCTTTGATAGCTTTTGGAGAACTACTACTTATTACATGCAAAAGATTACAGTGTTTATTTTCTTCATTATAGTTATTAGTTTGATTGATAAATTATAGGATGAGTCTACATTGATATGGTACTACGGCAAAGATGAGAAACAACTTGAGCTACGTAATGTTTCAAGGATAATTCCTGGACAGCGTACTGTAAGTATACTATGCTTTTTTCTAATTTTATGAGATGTTTCATTTTCTCAAGAGTTGGTGCATCATAGAGACGTCAAAGACAAAACATTTCTATGTTATAGTATTAACTGCATTTGTTTTTCCTGTAGGGGCTGCAAAGTTAATTAACCTGAACATCTTAGTTTTTCTACCTTATCAGCTGATTTTTCATTCGGACCTCTTTGTCTCTGGAATTTATGCTTTTCAATTGGTTAGAAAAAAATTTCAAGATCTTTAAATTTTAAATTGAGCACAAAAAACAAGAGAAAATCTGGAGGAAAATATATGTGGAGACCTAATAATGGAAACATCATAGTATTATAGATAATATAACAAGATGCACTAGGAGCAATTAATGGAAATTTTCATGTTTATTACTTTGTAAAATAAAGGGATTATGCATGTATATAATTAGGGTGAGTCTTTAATTTTGCGACATTATTGAAGAACACATTCAATTAGCTCAACTAATTATTATTAAGAAGAATTTATGTCATCTCGCTAGAGTTACATTGAGTCTTCATTTCAAATGCAATTTCTTTAAGTTCAATCTCTTCTTCATAACCACAGATAATAATCCAAATGATCACTGAACATTGTAAAAGGTTTTCACGGAGTCATTGAAATTTAAAAATTACCCAAGTCATCACTAAACATTGCAAAAGGTTTCCACGGGATCATTAAACTTTAAAAATCACCTTAATCATCACTAAACTTTGCAAAAGGTTTCCACGAGATTACTGAACTTTAAAAATATCACATTCATCACTAAATTTTGCAAAAGACTTCACAAAGATTTAGTGACTCCTGGGAAACTTTTTACAAAGTTTAGTGATTTCATGAAAACTTTTTTGCAAAGTTTAGTGATGAATGTGATGATTTTTAAAGTTTAGTGATCTCATGAAAATTTTTTGCAAAATCCAGTGATGATTTAGGTGATTTTTAAAATTCGGTGACCCTTTGAAAACTTTTTACAAAGTTCGGTGACCATTTTGGTTATTATCTCTCATAACCATGGTAATAATATTGATATATGATGATTTGACTAACATCATAGACATTTTTTTGTCAGGCAATATTTCAGCGGTATCCTCGACCTGAGAAGGAATACCAATCATTTTCTCTCATTAGTAACGATAGATCCTTGGATTTGGTGAGTTTATCAACTAGTTCTTAACATCTTATTGCATAAATTGTGCACTATTTCGACTACAAAACATGTGGATCACCCACCATTTTGGTAATGTAATTGAATTTGGTTTTCTATCATAATTTATCTTATTCCATTACAAAATCTTGACAGATATGTAAAGATAAGGATGAAGCTGAGGTTTGGTTTGTCGGTTTAAAAGCTCTAATTGAATGTGGTGGCTACAGAAAAATAAAAATTGAGGGAAAGAGTGAAAGTACATCATCAGATAGTCCATGTGGTCGGATTGTCTCTCCCTCAAGTTTTTCTCTTGTGAGTTATAGTATCTTATTCTTCTCTCTATTGTAAACAAGATCCTCCTAGCAAATTTCTTCTTTCCTCATTTTAATTCTTCTTTTTCTGTTGTCTAATTAGTTACATCAGGATCAAGGAGATACCCAACAAACTGAGAATCTTTCTCAGAGCAGATTGGGAAAAGCATTCGCAGACATCATTTCATACTCTGCAACAGCCAAGAGTCCTACACGGGTAGAATCCGTGACATATTCTACCAACTCATTGTCAGCAGGGGCTGTAGACAACTCGAATTACCAAAGTCCTGGGGCTGACACATTTCGGGTGAGTCTATCTAGTGCTGTAAGTTCATCAAGTCAAGGTTCCTGTACTGAAGATTTTGATGGCTTCGGCGATGTTTTCATTTGGGGAGAAGGCACTGGTGATGGGGTGGTCGGAGGTGGTGTGATTGGAGTCCATAGATCATCTAACACCAAGGTTAATGCTCTCTTGCCCAAGGCATTAGAATCAACTGTTGTGCTTGATGTACATAGTATTTCTTGTGGTGATAGACATGCAGTTTTAGTCACTAAGCATGGGGAGGTATTCAGCTGGGGGGAAGAGAGGGGAGGGAGGCTGGGTCATGGAGTCGAAGCTGATGTTTCCCACCCCAAGCAAATTGAAACACTTCGTGGTATGAACATTAAAATGGTAGCATGTGGCGAATATCACACTTGTGCTGTTACACATTCTGGTGATCTATACACTTGGGGTGATGGTACTCTTAACTGTGGTTTGCTTGGAAATGGAAGTGAAGCAAGTCACTGGATCCCAAAAAATGTGGGTGGTCCCATTGAGAGATTACATGTATCATTTGTTTCATGTGGGCCTTGGCATACGGCTTTGCTAACATCTGCTGACCAGTTGTTTACATTTGGAGACGGGACTTTTGGTGCACTGGGACATGGAAATTGTAATGGCACCAGAATTCCACGAGAAGTGGAAACTTTAAAGGGATTGCGAACAGTCAAGGTTGCTTGTGGTGTATGGCACTCTGCTGCAATTGTTGAAGTAAAGAGTAAATCTTCTAATTCTGGAGAATCTGATGGTTCATTATCTGGAAAGCTGTTCACCTGGGGGAATGGGGATAAAGGGCGGCTTGGGCATGGTGATAATGAATCAAGACTAGTTCCTGAATGTATAGATTCATTGGTCAATGTTAGCTTTTCCCAGGTAGCATGTGGAAACAATTTTACCATTGCTCTGACAACGTCAGGACGGGTATATACCATGGGAAATAATGTTTATGGCCGGCTGCTGAATTCTGTAGCCAGTGGAAAGACTCCCACTTGTATAGAAGGTAAAATTGCTGACAGTATCGTGGAAGAGATTGCTTGTGGTTCACATCATGTGGCAGTTTTGACATCAAAGGCAGAAGTTTATACCTGGGGAAAGGGTTCAAATGGGCAACTTGGGTATGGTGACATTGATGACCAGGATACACCTAATCTTGTCGACTTTCTAAAAGATAAACAAGCAAAAAGTGTGGCCTGTGGTTCAAATTTTACTGCTGTTGTATGTCGTCATAAATGCTTATCTAGTGCTGATAATTCCATGTGCTCAGGTTGTCAGAATCCTTTTAATTTCAGACGAAAACGTCACAACTGTTACAACTGCGGACTTGTTTTCTGCAAAGCATGTAGCAGCTGGAAGTCCCTTAAGGCGGCCTTAGCCCCAAGTATGAACAAGCCTTATCGTGTCTGTGATGATTGTTTCAACAAATTACGGAAGGTAGCAGATTCGAGATCCGTTCCTCGAATTCCTAATGTCAAGAGTGGAGGTTCACTATATAAGCCCAGTGAAACAGCAGAAAAGGAGACAGGGACTTCTCGTTTACCTGGAAGTATTTCAAGACTCTCTTCTGCAGACTCATTCAAATCTGAAAGGAGTTCCCCATATAATGTGAGATCTGAGTCAAATGATAGCCGCGTGTTTCCTCTTCAAAATGGAAATGTTCAGAGGGCAAGCGTGTCATCAAAGTCGCCTGTTAGCCCATTTGGAAATTCTAGAAATTTCACTTGTGTTTCTGTTTCTGTTCCTAGTTCTAGAATAGTTTCTCGGTCACCATCTCCTATTCCAGGAAAGTCAAGCCCTCTGAGGTCTGCCACAGTGTCACCATCTATATCAGTTCGCACTTCAGAAGTAACTGCTGATGATATAAAGAGTACTAACGATAGTCTATGTCAGGAGGTGAAATATTTAAAGGCACAGGTAAGCCTGTTTGGAGATGCAGAAAATACTATAGACATTGTTCTCATGCACTTTTCCCTAATCTGGACGTTATATATGTTTCTTTTCTCATATTAAAGCATTGTGCTAGAGTTAATTTGTGTCAAAATTCTAAAGAGACTTTATAAATACCTTGCATTTTCTTAAGACTTTCAGAAGTGTAAAATTGCATTGTGACTGCTGTTTTCTGGATTAATGGGAATGGCTCGGTCTTTTTATCCAAAAGTGTTCACTCCAACACCCCACCTCAATTTAAACACCCTAAATATCCTGCATACATCATTGGAAACAAATATTGATGGTTGCCTTCTGTTTATTTACCTGTTGCTTTGTGCATCTGACTGAATATTTCCTTAGGTAGAAGAACTTGCTAAGAAATCCCACCTGCTTGAAGCTGAACTGGAAAAAAAATCTGAGAAACTTAAAGAGGTGACTGCACATGCAGCTGATGAGGCTGAAAAAGGCAAAGCTGCAAAAGAAGCAATCAAGTTGCTGACAGCACAGGTTGGATGTTGTTCTACGTTCAAAATTTCAAAATCTTTTTGTTTTCAAAAACTTGTATTCTAGAGGTATATTTTCATCGAAATAGATGGCCAAGTGGTTTCACTAATGGATTAGTTTCCATGAAATTGTTCTTGTAAGGCTCCTGATTTAGTCTTGACCGTGGAATTTCTGGATGATCCCTCAATTGAAACTCAAAAGGGCCACTCTGATCCTCGTAAAAAATAAGACTGCTACGGAGGGACGTAATTCATTTCACATGTACACATTGAGTGCTTCTATGAGCATAAGTATGAATGAATGAATTGTGTATACAAAAATTTAGCCAGTTATCATACTAACAAGTTACATCCATTTTGGTTCCTCTATGGTCTATGCTCTTGTAACATCTGTGTACTGATTAAAACAGAGAATTTTATTTTGTATTTTGAGTGGAAGCACAACATAGAGGACAAGCCATCCTCAATTATGGTAATGAATGGGTCAAGATCTCAGCCTTTGATTCATGGTTGGCCAGTGATTGTAGGTGTAATGCATTTCATGAGTTTTGTGCTGACTTTCTTACTAGCAAAAAGCTATACAAGTTTTTTACCCATGTGCAACAAGTAAATTTAATTATTTTACTATTTTCTGTTGGCCTATACTTACGCCCAGTTTGTGGATTATTGTATATGCCCATACTAATGGAAGTGACTCTTTGGTGCTAGATGGATATACATCTAAAGAGATTTGCCTCATTAAAATTCTGTTTCTCGTACTCTTAAAAGTTCAGTTTTAATTAAAGGAAATTAATGTTGCATGGAAGATTATTTTTATTTTATTTTATTTTTATTTTTATTTTTATTTTTATTTTTATTTTTTTAATGTGAAGGATGGTTATAATGAAAACTTGGATATAGTGGCAATGTGCTGAATAAAAGAGATTATAAAGTGTTGGGTAGCTCATTCAAATTCGACCAAAGAAGAAAGATTCCCCTCTAACTGACTAAATTAGATTTGAACTGTCTCTTGAGTTCTGATACAGAGCTCAGAAGTTATGCGTCATAAGCATTTACTTGAACATAGTATGTTTAATTCATAATCTGGATCTTCATAGATTTATTGGAGAGGTGGCTTTGTCAGAAAAAGAATGCTGCAAAACCATGAGATTTGGTTTCATGTATTTCTTGTGGTGTTCTATGAGATGAACCAGATATTATCTTGTAATTCATCCACCTAAAACCCGGTCAAGACCCAAGTTGTCATTTTCGTTTCATCTTCTACCAAATGTTACTCTCCATTTCGATGATCAAATTAAGAGAGTGAATCAAGAGCATAAATTTGGATTGCATATCTAGTGATTGTATTTTCATCCTTTCATCTGTGACTATGTGGGTTACTTCTAGGGAAAACATCTGATTCTTATAAGGGGTGAATAGAGTCTGAAGTGTCAATGATCCAATTTTTCTGGCAGTTAAAAGAGATGGCTGAAAGAGTGCCTAAAGAGAATAATGCTTTCAGCAACTTGGATACTAAAGCTGAGCAAATGCTGCACGATACTGGTCGACCATCTAATGGAAGCATTTCCTCCCCTAGAAGTGAGTCGAGTGACAGCTTGACCCCTCCACCCCTATCTAATGGAACCAAAGTGCAGAAGTTGGATAGGATAATACAAGATGAGCCAGGCGTTCACTTGACTCTTATCTCCTTGCAAAATGGTGTCAATGAGCTGAAACGGGTTCGTTTCAGGTAATCTCTTTCAATATACCTTCTTTTCTTTCCGGAAATACTTTTCATTCTTAAACAAGTAAGCAACAATTATCTGGAGATGGGGTTTGTTAAGATGTAAGAATATTTTCTTCCACGGAATTGCTTAGCAGTTATTTATTGGTTGTGCAATGTTTTGATTCCAACTGACTTAAAATTTTTGTGGCTTTCTACAGTCGGAGACGTTTCACTGAAGACCAGGCAGAGAAGTGGTGGGCTGAAAATGGAACAAGAGTATGCGAAAAACACAATATTCAAACTCCGACGTAGTCTGAGGCAAGCAGTCGTTACAGCTAACTTTTCACGACTATCTTTCTGTAGACTGGAAACTGTAAATTCTATTCTCGGCTTGTTTTTCTTGATCAGTGGAGCTCACATCCCGGGCTCAGTTTTAATGGTAGAATGATAAGCAAGAATATATGCACTGCACCGTTTTTCATTTTTGTGCAGGTGAATTTTTGTCTATGTAATAATTCAGCTAGAGCAGCGTAATACTTCGGAGAAATTAAGAATTCTATGATGAGTTATTAAAAAAAATTTGGGAGTTGATCAGTTAAGTTCTGATTTAATGACCATGATCAGATGCAAGTGCAGGGAAATTTCTTTATTACTGAACAAATTTGTAATCTTACACCCCATGGATTATCAAACACAAGCATGGAGCCTAATAATAAGGATATAAAGAGCATGTTCATCATTCACCTTCTCTAACATGTATACTTGTTTTTTATGCATACCTAATTTTTGTCTTAACAAAGATATGATTAGGGGGGTTATATTACCACCATAATTTTGATTTGATACATCACATTTCAATTGCGCTTAAACTCTCTCAATCTTTATTCGTTGCAGTAATTATTTTTCTCATCGAATTTTATCTTCAATATTTTATTATTATGTCTTTTCCTTTATGGTGATTTATATCAAAAAAAATTATTTTCATGCTCATTTTTTGAATATTTTATTTATTTATATTTTAAAAGTATAATGAAAAATAAGTTGTTTCACATCATTTCAATGGACTTTTGTATATAAAATTGTTATCAAATACAAAATGTGTTAACTAATAGACAGTTTGAAGATAAGAATGATATGAAAAATTATTAAGGACATAAGTACTATAGTGAACAAAGATTAAGAACCTTACCTTATGATTAATTGTTTATTTAATTAAAATATTCTTAAAATTAATATTAATTTCATGGAACTTACAATTTTCATAATTTTATTTTATCGAAAACTACAAAAACTCTGTTAAACAAACCCTAAATAAAAATTTGATTAAGCAACAATTGTTGATTGAACGAATACCTAACTAAGCCAGTATTTTGGCTGGGTTAATGACCAAATTAAGTTTTTGACAATTTGGAATCCGAACACCACTCAAAAATCTTTACTAATATCGCAATGAAAAATAATATATTGAGTATATTAGACCTTTAAACTTTCATTAGAATCCGTTTGATTGTAAGAATGAAATTTGGATAGAAAGAAAACGAATTTCAGGAAATGAAACTACCTAGAATTTATTTTCCTGTGAATTGTCAATTAAATGTATTTGATTTGTATAATTTTTTACCTGAAAAATGTTGAAATTTTCAATCTTTTAGTATTTATTTGACTTTATTTTTTTATAAAAATTGTCAATTAAAGTGACAATATTTATTACAATTGGATAGAATTTGTTCCAATCGCCAAAAAATGATTTTAAAAAAAAAAAAACAACTAGACGGAATAGGTTTTCAACAAAACCAAGGAAATTGGTCACGTGAGGGGGGTGCGGGGGTTAGGAATTGCTAAGAAAATTTTGCAATCAAACAAGTCAAAAAGGTGGAAAATGAAAAATATTTTCAATGGAAAATTGGGCAAATCAAACAAGCCCTTAGTTCTATAACTTATTTATAATATAAATATTCTAATTTCATTTTAAAATTTATTTTTAATAGAAAATACCAATAAATGGCTCGTGAAATATTTCCCTTTTAGAAAATAACCAGTTTTTGTGCAAATTAGCAAAATGACCACTTTTAATGAAACAATAAAAAACAACATTAATGTTTAATATTCTATAAAACTTGAAAGGATTCGTGCACGAGGACCCTTTTCTATTGAGAGAAGGAAAAGGTTACTTTTTTGTGAGTGCACAATTTTTAAGGCAAATTTTGAAAATTTCTAAGAAAATATTCGTTTGTCTAGGTGCTTTGGTCATTTTGGAATGAATTGGGGTTGGGGCCCTACCAACTACTTACAATACGAGGATGGATGGATTTTTGGGTAATTCTTTATATAGGCGTGTGAGTATCGATAGGGGTCCTACCTTGATAAAACAACAAAACTCTCTTGAAATATAGTCATAGCTATCTCAAAAAATGATTAAACGAACGGCCTATGGTACCACTTTTCAGTAATGGCTGCATTTTAGGAAATACCAATAAGGGAAAAGCCCCTTGAACAACCCCTTGAATGTTCAGGGGATTGTTCAAATAGCAGGTCCCTACCAATAAACGGCTATTGCAACATTATGTTTTCAGAAAAGAATGTTTTTTGTAAAAATTATCAAATGACCTCTTATTAATGAAATTATCAAAAATATCCTTAATGTTTCAATTTTAAGCTTTCAAGTCAATATTCATTTCGAGGAGACAATTTAGAGGTATGCTAGACAATTAGAATTGTCTTTAAAAATAGTTCGATTAATTACGACAATTTCAAACTATTTTGCATAAAAAGTGACTGATGAGTGCTCTACACTCATGATATTTATGTCACTTAATTCATTTTTTTGCTATCCTTGAGAGTGTTTTAGAGAGTTTTAATGTGTGCTTTGATGTNCAACTAAAGAAAATCCTTTCGTAATATAACAGGACCGAATTCCACAAAGAACATATCATGAAGTAAAGAAAAGGTTAAAACCTGCCCCCCAGGGCACATCCAAGTTGGTGGAACAATCACATTGGGGGGCTCTGAAACCAAGCGTGGGGAGTTCGATTCCTGGTGGGAACCTTTGATCCAATAAAGGAGGAATTATTGGTGGATTAATCACCATGGAGGAGGCTCCCTTTGGGGAAGGAGTAAAAGCCATGTGGGAATCTGGGAACTGCACATTCTGCGATTTACCTCCCTGAGCAGCTGAGGGGCCGGAGGTTCAGGGACGAGGATATAGTCTGGCGCAAGTTGGGACACCTCATTAAAAAAAAAAAAAAAAAAAAAAGGGTTAAAACCTGGTTAGGTAACACTGCAACAAATTATAGTAAGTTAAAATGAAATTTCTTTACCTAATTTCTTCACCACCCGCCAAAATTTATCCCTTTCCATGAGCGTTGTTCACATTCCTGTCAGTGCTCTTCTCCGAGTAATTCCCTACTCTCCATTTCCATTTTATCTCTCCACTCCCCACAAATCCAAATAAAAGTAGAAAATTGAATAAAATTCAATCCTGTAAAATGGATATGTCAAGGATAGCCAAGAAATTGGGCTTTTCTGAATCCAAACAACTCATCCTTCACGCAGCGGAGCTCCGCCGACTGGCCGACATCCAATTTGACTCCTCCATCATCGGCATTGTGAGTTTCTTTCATTTTTCTTTTGTATTTTGAAAACCCATTTCAATTTTACACTCATTTTGACTTTTAGTATTTATTTGTTTGTTTCTCGGATAGGGGGAGATTTGCAAGGCAATAATTTGCTTAGAGATCGCTGCTTCCAGGTACAATTCTTGATTCTTTCCCCTATTTTAGCTTTTCGGTTCAATGATTTTGTTGTAATTGTTATAGGATGGAAGTAATATTTGATCATCACGCTGCAGTAAAATTGAGTGGGTTGTTTGAAAAGGCTTACAATAGATCATTTAATTCAATGCAAAATAGCATTGGTATCAAGTTAGTATTCGTTTTCTTTTTAAAATCTTTGTTATTTCGATAAATGATTTTCTTTGAGTTGCTCATTTTTATTTTTATTTATTTATTTATTTTTGGCTAATAATTTGTAGGAAGAAGCTTCATATAAGAGAGTTGGCAATTCAATTTGGATGTATTAGGCTCATCCCATTTGTCCAGAAAGGATTGTCTTTGTAAGTATGGGACTGCTATCAGTTCTTTTTTGAATTTGAAGGAACATAAATTGATATATTTATCATTCTTGTTTAAGATTCACTAGTAGCATCTTGATTCTACACTAACACTGAGATCTATTACTTAAAGAGTGCTCCTCACTTTTTATCTCATGTTACTGGAAATGTTTGCAACTTTGCATGAAAACATTGATACAGTGATAACAAATATTAATTCTTTTGGGTTTTAGGTATAAGGATCGGTTTATCGCCTCACTGCCACCCTCCCGTAAAGCAAGTACTGACATCATGCGGCCTGTGTTTACTGCTGCAGGATTCTACCTTTGTGCTAAAAGACACAATGTATGCAATATTTCTTTAATGCATGTCAATATTTATGTACACTATGTGTAGATGAAAGCGTGCCCTGATGTTACAATTGATCAGTACATGAAAATTTTGCAGCTTAAGATAGACAAATCTAAGTTGATCGAGCTTGCTGGCACATCAGAATATGAATTTTCTAGTGTAAGATTAGCTATTTGTAATTGAATATTGGGCATGTGTATGAACTGAGAGGAATACTAGAGATCATTTAACGTAATTTCAGGTATCAGCCTCAATGACAGACCTCTGTTTTGATGTTTTTGGGAAAACAAAAGAAAAAAGGGATTCTAAAGAAGATAATGGGAATCATGGTAATTCTTATAATTGTTATTCGTATAATTTGTCTAATTTTTCCATCCTATTTGTAGTTGACAGACTTTTCACCATTTCAAGTTATGCAGTACTTTAACACTGCATAAATAGATAGCATTTATGTTATTAATTAATTGGTTGTACTTTTTCTTCTTCTTGGTCCTTTAACATGCTGAACTTCTAGATGTGCTTCCTGAAAAAAGGAGGGTTGATGACGATGGCCCTTTATCTGATGATGGAGAAGAGGTAAATCATGAGCATGATGTTTTAGCTATTTTGATATAAATTTGCTGACACGTGTATCAGGAAGAGTAAAAAAGAAGCAGAAAAAACTCAATATATGCATGGAATGGTAAGCATGTGTACGTTTGTGAATCGAGAAATTTAGACGCATGGGATCAGTTCAAAGTTCATAATAGCTACGAGCTAGATGTTGATCTCCTTGGACCTCCTACAATCCATCCTGTGGCATATTTTTTATTTATTTTCGTTTTTTGGTTATATGGTCTCATTTCTCCTCTTTGTTGTACAGCCTTTCATTTCCCTCCTTGTTTACCAAAAGTAGTTGAGGTTCAATGTGTTTTAAATACTAGTTAAGCATAATAATTGTAAAAAAATGATGAATTGAGTACTAAGATGTAATTTTATGTAGTGTAGAAGTCTCCTTTATGTACAAACAAAAATACTGTATGTTAGATATAAGAAAAGACATTCAAGAATGTTCTGAAACTCATTCATTCTGTCTGCCCTTCCCTGCTTTCTTTACTTTATTTTACTGTTCTTTTAATTAATTGCTGTAATTACTCTCATAAACACACAAGATTTTGGGACCTACCAGCTAAAACTACTGCCAACAAGAAGCCATGGAAGTCCTTATTTAGCTCCTAAGGTAAATGGCCACCTCAATTTTAGGAAAAGCCATAGATCTCTTTAGTTCTGATGGTAACTAAACAACTATTATTGGATTATGAAAGTTCATTTGCATATTGGTCGCACGGAACTATTTTTCAGATTGCTGAGGCAACAACTAAAAAGTCCATTTGTGTATTATGACGATTTAATTTCGTGCTGTATTGTTTACTACTTAGAACTGCTGCTTGAAGTTTTCTCTGTATTTCTACCCCGTGCAATCTTAGCAATGTTACTGTTAGACATATTATTTCCTTGTTTGAAATCATTTCATCAACAATTTTTAAACAAGTCCTTGACCTAATTATACATGGGGTGCTGTGATATGTTTGCAGCGTTTGGCGTGCATGAAGCGCAAGCAAATGGAGAAACATGTTCTCGAAGAGTAGAAGTCTGAAGTTCTCCAGTCTAATCTCAGCAGGGAAAAAGGTAGTGATGTGTGCTTCCTTCTCCCGTATGCTCATAAGTTCCAGTCGAGAAGCTACTTCATTTCGTTTATATTTGTAATATTGAACTTTACATTGTCTAGGTCCTACCAACTACCAATTGAACCCAACAAACCAGACTGAAGTGCTTGAAGACTGTTGCTGAAACCGGAGTGGAGGCTACACAAGAGACATAATCAGACATCATTTCTAGAATAAACCAAAGTGGCAACATAGTAGTGCTCGAAGTTTGGCATTTTGGGATAATGAGAAGATGAATTCTCTTGGAGTGAAGATATCAATAAAAAACAGCATTCTTAAATCGTACTTAATGTAGAAATACATCAATTGCTTATTAAGTTTTCCATTGGTAGATTTATCATTTAGCTGTTTCAAGAAAATTGAGACTATAAATACTTGCTCGACCAGAATGAGTAATGCTGTAAATGGTAAAAATCTTTGTACAGAGCTCATGAATTTTTTGTTAAGATTCACTTTAGACCTCGTTCCTATTTAGTTCAATAGTTAGCCAATTTTGAAGCATTAGTGTAAAATGGTGTTTTCTAAAATCCAAAACACTTTTTTTTATAAGTGGAAAACGTTTTCAACCTTGCTGTCCACTTGGCACGCATCCATTGGCTGTCTTTGTCCTATTCGGATTTGTGTTACTTTGGGACTATTCTGGACCATTGTGTTGATCCAACGGCTGAGACTTAATGAGAGTTGTTTTAATCCTTGTATTGGCTGTAGATGTGTGAAGAATTTTCATAATTTCATTCACTTGGTTGAGGCTTTGAGTCTCTGGCGATTTCTTCTCTCTAACCTTCTCAATTCTGTAAATCAAATCTGTGTTCGTTCTTTTTTATAAATCAAATCTTGGCCTTGATTTATGGCCTTTGGTCTGTGGTGCTCTCAAGCTTGTGTTGTGGCTTTAGGTCGGTTTTAAAGCTGTTAAGAATGGTTTTACACTTGTGTCTTGGTCTTGTATCGCATAGGTGCAGATATTGTGATATCTTTTAAAGATCAATGACCTAATTGATTGAGTCAGTGGTCTTATTGTTGTATTCTAAACTTAAACTCTTTTGGACCGTTCTTGCACTAGTGATGGATTTGGTTTACCTCTGAGCCAAGGACTCTCAAACAACCCTTAATTGTTTAATAGTTAGGTCAAAATAATTGGCCCAAATCTCTCTCTGTTTTTGCTCACTTTTTTTCTTTATTTCTTTTACTGTTTATAAATTATTTTCTCATTATGATAATTTTTTTTTGAATTTTGAATAATATCTATATTCTTTATTTAATTTTTTATAATTTCCTTTTGTTTATTTGTTTTGTTTTTATTATTAGTTCTTTTGAAAAAAAAAATTCTTAATTGTTTTCGTCATATTATAAATAAGCTTTTTCAATTTAAAATTCATTTTAATTTTTTTCTTTTTATGATAAAATTTAAATTAAATAATATTTATATTATTTATTTAATTTTTTAAATTTCCTTTTGTTTAATTATTATTATTATTTTTGGAAATAGTTTTAAAATTTCTTAATTATTTACTTCATATTATAAATATTTTTTTCCAATTTAAAATTCTTTTTTAATTCTTTTCTTTATATGATAAAAAAAAATTTTCAATTTAAATTAAATAATATTCATATTCTTTATTTGATTTTTATAATTTCCTTTTGTTTAATTTTTTTATTACTATTTTTTGGAAATAGTTTTAAAATTTCTTAATTGTTTTCTTCATATTATGAATAATTTTTTTTTCAATTTAAAATTTTTTTAATTGAATTTTTAAATGTTTGAAGAGGTTTTCTCCTTTATGGTTATGTCCATGTCTACATTATTTTCTAATGTTCTACTTACCTTTTTGCATTCTTGTAATCTTATGGTCAAACTTCAATGACAACAAATCAGGTTCTTAGAAGAAGGTTGATACATAAAATTGCATTTAACATTTTAAACTATAATTTAGGATTCTGCATGTTACCTGTCAACATGACAAACCATTTTTGATATTGTTATATTGTATATCTTGATGATATTTAATTATTATAATCATACAAAGCTTGAGTGAGCTAAATCATATTTTAGACTGACCTAATATAAATAGAGAAATATGTTTCGCATAAAAAATTTTCCTACGAACTTTTGTACACGAAAATGCCTTGTACTAATATATGCAAATTCTCAAATTTTCATATGAAGAATAAAAAATATAGAGAGAAAATTAACAGAAAAATAAGTTAATTTGAACGAATTTATAAATACCTTTCAAATTTATGAATGATTATTTCTAAAATTTACACACTTATTTCAAACATTAACCAATAAACGTGCAATGCACGTTGACTCACTAGTTTTTATTAGAAGTGATTAAGCTTTCACTTAAAACTTAAGTGGGATAGTTACTTCGATTTGTGTCTTTTAGTCGCGTCGACATAGGGTCGGCAATGGGCCGAGCCGGCTCAGCTCGGCCCTTAATGCCATGAGCTCGGCTCGTGCTCGTGGCGAGCCGAGCTCGTGGGCCGAGCCGAGCTTCGGCTTGTGGGCTCGCCTATTTTTTATTTTTTTTATTTTTATATATATATAAAATAAAGAATAGAGTTTTAAAAATAAAAAGTGTTAAAAAATACAAATAATTTAATGAGAGCAAATTTTTATTTTTTTATTTATATCATATTGTAATTTGTAATACTTTTTATAAGGTATAAAATATTTATATAATGAAAACAAATTATTTTTTGAAATACATTTACAAAAAATATTTTTTTTGATTTCTTTTTAAAGTTAATAAAAAATAGAGTTTTAAAAATAAAAAGTGTTAAAAAATACAAATAATTTAACGATAACAAGTTTTTATTTATATCATATTGTAATTTGTAATACTTTTTTTAAGGTATAAAATATTTATATAATGAAACGAATTATTTTTTGAAATACATTTACAAAAAATATTTTTTTGATTTCTTTTTAAAATTAATAAAGAATAGAGTTTTAAAAATAAAAAAGTGTTAAAATACAAATAATTTAACGAGAACAAGTTTTTATTTATATCTTATTGTAATTTGTAATACTTTTTATAAAGTATAAAATATTTATATAATGAAAACGAATTATTTTTTGAAATATATTTACAAAAAATATATTTTTTTGATTTCTTTTTAAAGTTAATAAAATGTAAACCATCCTTCTTTATCCGGGTTTGGGACCGGCTACATCAATTTTAAGTAGGCGGAGTTAAAAATTATACACGAACAACTTGTTGTAACGTGTACAATTTTTAAAAAAAAATTAAATTTAACGATTAAAAAATAAAAAAAAAATTTGATTAATATAATTAAATCAAATATCACTTACCTGACGACATGCAATTTCAGCGTATTTATCTTGTAGTCGAAAATGAGCGTCCTGCCAATCCTTCACACACATTAACGCTTCCAAAACATCTTCTTTCAGTCGGCTCCTGACATCAGTCAGAACCCTTTTACCTGCACTAAAAGCAGACTTCGAAGCAACAGTACTAACCGGATGTGTCAATAGATCTTTCGCAATTGCAGAAACAATTGGCCAACGTCTTTCATACTTTCGCCAGAATTCAATTACTTCTTCTGAAATTTTTTTAATTGTTCTGTCTGTTGGCATATTATGATTGAAATAATCAATTAATTCGGCAGACATCACATTTTGAGTTTCGGCCGATGTTTGATGAGATGCAGATGTAGACGACATGGCACTAGATGAACACATTGCAGTTGCATCATATCTAAATGTATTAATGCCCTGAAATAAATTCATTATTTTCGCAGCATCTTCTT